GGTGGACCAAACCCTAAATGAAAGCATGAAATGTGACCGTCACCTGTGGGGACGAAACTACATAAAAGCCGCATAGAAAACACACTGACCGACGTGGAAGTGAACAGCGAGCATCCCTCTTATGTCTGAGAAATGATATAGCCTAGACAAGCAAAGCAACATACGTACACCAATACGCAATAGATACTTATTCAGTGCTTAGCAAATATCTGCAATTACGCAACATGCTTTTCTAGTGAAATTCAAATATTCTGCAGACTGGTGCCAACCAAAAGTAGTTCTACTGCTGGGAAAGACTCACGTGATGATAGGAAAATACATATCGTACATATAAACATACACCTGGCATTCTGGCTGGCTTAAGTTCTGTATATGTGCATGTGACAAATAAAAATCTTAAATCTTGAACATGCACATATAAAAATCTAGAGAATCTCATTCCAGCTGTAACACCATGGACCATGGGTGACTGCTGTATAAAACTGTTCTTACTGCAGTCTCTAGCAATACATGTCTGGATATTTGTAGATACGTATGATCATTAATAATAGTAATAATAATAATAATAATAATAATAATAATACTACATCATTAACCATGGTATCACAACGCCCCGCTGCCATACAGTATTTTGTGCGACTTGAAAGCACAATCACTTTTGTTGACATTAAAACCTGAAGTTTTAATTAATGTGCAATTCACACGTAAATACACAGTTTTGATTACTGCACAAAATAACTGTAGGAGACATACTTAATAATGTGCCTGACTACTCGGATGGTAGTTTTACAGATCAAGAAGCCTGCCAGCTCGCAAAAAAACTACAAAATACATATATCAATTTCTACGTCTACATACCATTCTTATACAAAACATTATTTCGGCCTTTGTCCTGTCCGTAGCTAAAGCAACGAATAAATACTGAATCCCCTCTTTGTCCTGGCCAGCGCAACTAGTAAAATCGTTTTATTCGAACCACGAAAACATCTGATTATCATTAAAAACCTCCCAGCCTCCTCCCATGACTCCTTCTTGCAGGCACTCGCCAAAGTGTGGTAGAGCTAAAAAAAAAAAACAGCTAATTAAAAGTGTTATAAACAATCATGCTCGTACGGAGACTTTGCTATTTTTGTGCTAACATCGAATATGCTACTTATTTAACTAAAAGTAAATTTATATTATGAAAACAACCCGAAAGGAAAGCACATTCTTTCAGCTGAGCTTAATCCAAGCTAAGGAGGTGCAAGCCGGACAATGTTCAAGCAGAAAATACTCCAGGCTTACCCGATCGGAAATCCTCGATCCCCTCCAGTTTATGTCGCTCCGATTGACCCTTTTTCCAAGTTATGCGAAGTGAGTTATGCTGGTGCCTGACGGAGGCGCCGAGGGCGTCTTCAGCTTCACTGTTAATGCGATTCAGTCCAGCCCACTGCGCGGTAACTGGATCCAGGTACTGGCGTGACACGGCTGGCACAGGTAAGTCCTCCGGACCCCCTTCCCGCTGCGGGTCTCATATTAACTTTGAATATCTTCACACATTCGTCTGCAGGTGTTCCGGGTAAATTCAGACATTTACGACATACTATCCACATTGGCATTAATTTATAATGCATACTCTGAAAGTTGCAGTGCTTCATAAAATTTAACAACACGCTATGAATAGTTATGTTTTTTTTGCATTAATCAGAATATAGGAATGTTCACAGTTGAGTGTTACGCACCTTTCTATAAGTCTTTATTCTAAAGACTAATTACTTATAAATTATTTAAAGGGAATGTTTTATTCTGAAATAGTTTTCGTTTGAGGCGTTATTAATATGGGGGATGTAGATTGCTAGTTGTAGCTAAAGCTACCAGTCATGCATTTTTAAAAGCACTGACAGTTTCGGTCCGTAGGACGTGATAACCATCACCGTTAAACTATAATGAAAATAGAATCAAAGTATACATTATTAAGTAGACGTCATTAATATTAATTAGGCGTCAGTTTCGCTTTTAACCCCCTCTTCAATCCGCCCCCCGTATTTCCGCCAAGATGGTTGTCGGTGCTTTTCCTATCGCCAAGCTGCTTTATTTAGGCGTGCGGCAGATGAGTAAGCCGGTCGCTAACCGAATGAAAGCGGGGGCTCGAAGAAGCGAGTTCTTCAAGAATTATGTCTGTCTGCCTCCGGCACAGCGTAAGTGAAGCTGTAACTTTTAAACTGGATATAACGCTATGTCCTGTAAAATAACCCAGGGTAGTTATGGATTGAACTGTAATAGAAATGGGTACGTAAGCCAATAAGGATCGAGCTTCTCTGAATTAGAACCTATCAAATTTCTGGATACTGAAACTTTCCTTTCATTGGTCCTTTCTTATCTGGTTGACATTGATTTACACGAATTGGCAGGCCGTGTCTGTTTAAGGGGCTGGCGTTTACGCTGTGAATCGACAAATAATATTACACGGGGATTTTTGGGGTGTTATCCATTTGTCATTGAACATAGCTGTGGAGTGAAAGTGCTATTTGCTGTTGATAAAAAAGAAACCAAAATAAGACATGCTAATCCGTAATATCCAGAGTCCAACAGTGACTTACAGTTACCCAGAAACATCATATTTTAGACGCCATCTTTTTAACACGGGTCGTTATCTGACAATAGCGTGCAGCTTTGGGTCGTTTTACAGTGACTCTAAGTTCATGTGGCTTTATTTATTTTGACCGTGTGTGGCTCACCGTTATAGCAAGACCGCCCGGCCGATATCCAGGTTGCTCCGGGGCTGTTCCTGCTTTCTCAATTGTACGACGCTTTGGATAAAAGCGTCTGCCAAATAAATGAAAATGTGTTCTGTCTGTAAGTGTCCAGTGGAAAGTATAGTAAATAAACGTTTAAATAAAAAGAAGAGAGAATGAGTGAGATGTTGTCAAAGCTATTTGGATGACATTATTTATTAAGTATTTTGATAGAACTCACAGAAGATCACTTTTCATGCAGTTTATCACTGGATCGAGATGAGGACCAAGATGAGGATCATGGGATTCCGTGGGACTGCAATTAAACCCCTAAATGAGGAGGCTGCGGCTGACCTGGGGGCGGAGCTTCTGGGGGAGGCCATCATCTTCATGGTCGGTGGGGCCTGCATGGTTCTGGAATACAGCAGGCAGGCGGCGAACTCGCGCCGCAAGGAGGAGGAGCTGAACCAGAACATCTCTGACCTACAGACACAGCTAGCCGAACTCAGGCTGGAAATGGAGATTCTAGATACCCGACTGAAGGAGTTCAACCGGGTGCTGATGGCCCTACCTGCCCCCTCTGGCAAATAGTGGATGAATTCCAGCAGCTTGGTATGCAGCTGGTGCAGTACATGTGTGGTGTTACTATATCGTAGTACAGAGTCATCATTTTTCACATATGGCGCTTTCTCCAGCTCTCTAAAAAGGGACAGGGGAACACTGCCTTGTGCTTTGGCATGTCACAAAGCACACATGAATGAAATGTGCTCATTTTCTGTTCCTGCCAGTATTAATATTTGGTTAATGTCCATGCAGCAAGTTTACACCAGTAATTTACATTAACTTGGTGTGAAGCCAATTTTAACTTTATTGTGTCAGTGTTAGGTTCAGTCTTGCTCACTATATTTCAAGGCTTCTTGTTTCTCATCATTGTTCTAAGATCTATGTGCTACCAGCATGTCCTAATGTAAATCTCACAGAATTTCACTGATAGTTTCACTACCTTGGCATTCTGATGAGTTTGTGAAGACTATTAAAACGTCATTGTTGAACACTTTGGCATAACATTAATTTGACAGAAAATTACATGCTTTCTGTATATTTATGTTGGAGATGTGCACCTGTTGAATTGTGTAATTTCCCTGGGCTGGATTTCTCAGTTAACCCGGGGATCAGGTTAGTCCATGTGATTGGGAGTAACCAGGCCCTTATAAAACAAGGGAATTTGGCTTGTAACACTGGTAATTTTGTTTTAAATTATCCAGCCATTATTATAAGTTGTCATCCTTTTCAAATATTTGTTGGGTTCATATACATGTATTGGGATTTCAATATTAGGATATGTATTTAAAGCATTGCCTTTTGATTTATGGAATGGTGTATGCAAAAGGTGACCTGTAAATTAATTATTGTAAAATAAATTATTTTTTGATAAGTTTTCTCTTTGTACTTTAGCATCCATCACAGTTAAACACTGGGTTGCAGGTTGACCTATATTCTCAAGTTTTGGGAAGTTATGGATTTTCTCAGCGGCTTCACCATGTCATTTAGGGGGGATTAATTATTGACTTGTCATATTTCTGTATTATTCTCTAGGCCTATAAATGTTCTTGGAGAGCCGGTGGCACACACTTTGGTAAGAATGTGTCTAGGGATGCCAACTTTGGTCAGCTGGCTGGAATGAGATTTTCAATTCAACAAGTCTGTGCACACAGTTACATGTATGTAGCAGTTTTATTACATTGTAAATAGTCTCTAGGGCAGTGTTTCCCAACCCAGTCCTCGGTACTCTGCTCTAGGGTTTACAAACTACCCCAGTTGTAGCTAATTTTAGGTTTGTAATGGAATAATGTAGATTTGCCATGAAATTTCTTGTGTGAGAGTCTGAAAGAGTGAGTGTCACCCCCAAGGATGTAACTTTGGATTAAACATTGGCGGGGGGGGGGGGATGGGGTTGAGGTCCCCACTGATTCATCATGACAATATGATTATTGGGGAGGGGGGTTGTATTGGCTGGTTCTGATTATTGGGGGTGTTACACCCCCTAACCTCCCATAATTTACACCCATGGTCACCCCCGATGCTTGAGAGTTGGAAACCCTGCATGTCTGTCTTCGCAGTAATTGTAAAACTTTTCCACGCCCAACCCAAAAATTTGAGTTTGCGCGAGCAATAAAAGACCGTTCGTCTTCACCTCCTGCATGGTCGTAAATTCCAAAGTTTGCTCTACAACAGCTCAATCCGTGACGGGAGTTCATTTCTTTGGCAGAAGGTAGGGGGCGGTAATGGGGCCGAGGCTGCTTATCGCGTCACCATTACGCGAATGAGGAGCAGCTGTCGGACACGTCCAGTAGGTAACGTCCAAAACACGCAAATATCCACTTACTCATTAACGTACACAGCTTTCAATTATGGATGTTGATTTGCAGGTGCATATGCTGAATTGCGGGGCTGGTCTGTGCCTTTGCATCATATCCCTTAGTCATGCAGTTTGATGCTGTATCCAGGATGCTAGACTGCATCAGTCCGGGGTTAGGGGGGAGGTTGATATTAAAACGGGGATTCTGCGCGTGATGCGCCAGCGTCACTACGGTATTAATCCATGCATAGATTGTTTAAAACCGACGGACGAAAGAAGGTTCGTGCCTCGTCTGCCGATGCGCCGATAGGCTGGAGTGGGTTAGCGGCGGCGCCATCCCTCTGACAACCAGGTCTTAACTAGTCGTCTGATCCTTTAACCAGTCGGCATGAGTGGTGCGGACGTGAAGAAGCACCCGGTAAACGAGCTGAAGGAGCAGCTAGACATCCGGGAGGCTTCCGCGGAGGGAGCGGGACTTAGCGGCGGGGATCCCGGTTTCGCAGTGTGTCGTCATGCAGGTATGAGAGTCCATTTAAAAGAACAAGTTTGACAGCTGTAAAGTGGCGGGCGGGGCGGGGTGTGATTCTTGCGCTAAATCCTCATTTAGAGGGCTTGCCTGATTGGAGTCTGGTCATCTGTTTAGTATTTTCACTGTTCTTCTTGTATAAGATAAGGAAGATGAAAATGAGCTCCTAGAAATGGAGACCGGGCAAGGTGGAGAGATCAAGGAGGAGGGAGGTCAAAAGTTCAACCCCCACATGGGAGGTTTTGATCACCAAGCTGGTGAAGAAAGCCTGGAGATTTTGGGAGACCATCGGTCTAAACCAGATGTAGGGATGCATCCTGGTCAGCAGCCTTGTGAGTTCTATATTGTTTTGCATCATAACTGATCATGATGGTATGTTGCTAGTTTTTCTTCTTATTTATCAAAGAGTGTTGCATATTCAAAGCACTTCCCAAATGCACCACCTTCTTAATTACCCATAAGATCTTTAATATGCCCCCGGTTTACAGGTAGATTAGTCACATACAGAGTACGCAGGCAGTTGATGAGTAACTCAGTTACACCAAACCCTTTCTAACCTGGTAGGGAAGCCAAAACCAGGACAGTTCTGAATTAGAGTGCACGGGACAACCTGAAAGTCCTCCCAGAGATGTGCATGCCTCCAGAAACAATGTGAGGAGGATGTGTAAAAGCAGATCTGTGATGTACACTGCGTAGGGTTTGACGTGAAAGCAGAGTTGAAAACGGAGGAGGAAGAGGAATCTGGGCAGCCAGATGAATGTCATCAAGCACGGGGGTCGGTTGATGACTGGGAGGAGGAAGAGGGCACCAAGGAAGTGCGGTACGGCCGCAAGAGGCCGTTTAAGGAGGACAGTGCACACAGCTACTATGAGCACTGTGAAGACAAGAGGTATAACTTCCAAGTCCCTTTTGGGGGCCTCAACCCCAGCACCTTCCGGTTACAAGTACAGGCAGTCCCCAGGTTACAAACAAGATCGGTTCCATAAATCTGGCTTTAAGTCAAATTTGTCATTAAATTGGAAAAATAATAAGACAGTATGTAATAATAATTATACAGTAAAAATAAGAGTAGACTTTAAGGCAGTCTGTTCGTGAGTATGAGTTTTCTGTAAGTCAGATGTTCTTAACCCAGGGACTGCCTGTACTTGTAACCAGAAGGTGCTGGGGTTGAGGCCACCAAAAAGGACTTGTTTGACTGGGTTATGTAACATTAAATAATTTTGGATAAATATCTCAGCTGAGCAATGGCCTGATCATACCGCCCTTGGGCTGCCTATCTCACAGGTCCCGGTACCCCCCGCCTCCGGCGGAAGAGGACGAAGAGGACTTTGATGACTCCCTGGTGACTATTGACACCTGTGAGTAAGGCTGGGGGTCTCGTCCACTACCTAGGCATTCGGCAGCACAGAGCGGAGCTTGGGCATCAGGTGTGGCTGGTTTGACATGCTACAGTAAAATGGTGCCAAGTTTGGTTATGAGCTGTAAAGTCAGACAACAGCAGACTTTTAGTCAGATGACTGTTGCATTACTCAGATAATTCATTGTAAATGCTGGTCTACATTTTATAGGCTGTGTTCTTTGTGGAGTGGAATGTGTTGACTTATTGGGGTGGCTATATATGGCAAACGCAAGAACTACACCTGCTTATTATCTTTTTTTTTTATTGGTTTTATCATGATGACTTGTGCTGTCTAAATATGGGAGGACTTGATTGGCCAGGAGTGCAGAACTCTCTCACTGTCTTCCTTGCCAGTCACATGTGTCCAGTTGTGTCCTGAGCTGAGTTTGCTGCTGGGGGGATGGAGGAATCTTTGAGCCGTGTTGGAGGCGGCACCTTTTTTCGATGCTGCCGTGACTGCAGACGTCTGCGCTCTGAATGTGCGCGGATCTTGTCTTCCCACAGATAACTGTGATTTGCACTTCAAGGTTTCCCGTGACCGGTACAGTGGCTACCCCCTGACCATCGAGGGCTTTGCGTACCTGTGGTCTGGAGCCCGGGTCTCGTATGGGGTCAGCAGTGGTCGCATCTGCTACGAGATGAAGGTACCAGAGAGCTCTGTTCTCGAGTTGCCCTGGCATGACAGGGTCGATTCTCTGCGTTTGCTGTGTCAGCTGAGACCCTCCTCAGCACTTTTCTATAAAGACGTTCGTAATTGTGGTGGTTTTCACAGCTTGAAAAGACCACCTTTCTCTTTGTGCAGATAAATGAGGAAATTTCAGTGAAACATTTGCCGAGCAGCGAGCCAGACCCTCATGTGGCGAGAATAGGCTGGTCTCTGGATTCGTGTAGCACACAGCTTGGTGAGTTTTCCGTTGTGGAGACTGCAAAAAAGGTCCCCACAAGGTCAAAATAGCAGGTTCACATTGGGGAGACATTTGGTTCCCACAAAGTCATTTATACAAGCCGACACATATACATGCACATTCCCAAGTGTATACAAACATGGCTCACCCTGTGACCCGGAGCTCCTGCAACTCAACAAGTAGAGCATTGTGCTAACAGCCCAAAGATCATGGGTTTATGTAAATGTTACATGCTGGTTTTTTTTTTTTTTTCCTGTTGGCTCTCAGGTGAGGAAGATTTCTCATATGGGTATGGGGGAACCGGGAAGAAATCATCTAACTGTAAATTCGAGGATTATGGAGAAAAGTTTGGCGAGAATGATGTCATCGGATGCTTCATAGTAAGTGCTTTTCTCACACCTGCATCGCCAGAGTTCGGAGACCCCCGCCGTAGAATTTCCATCATCTTCCCTCAGGACTTTGAAAGCGGTGACGAGGTGGAGATGGCCTTCTCGAAGAACGGGAGATTTCTAGGTGTGGCCTTTCATGTGGCAAAGGCAGAGCTTGCTGGACGGTCGCTTTTCCCTCACGTCCTCGTCAAAAACTGCGCTGTTGAGTTCAACTTTGGCCAGCAGGAGCAACCCTTCTTCCCACCCCTAGAGAACTACACCTTTATCCAACATGTCCAGCTGGGGAACAGGACACGGGGGGCGGTTGGCCCAGCCACCAGATCTGACTGTGAGGTGAGATGGGTTTTCCGTCCTCTTAATTGAACACAGCCAGATCTCTGCAGTTCTGGAGGGCCGTTGCTCTGGACTTGACAGCTTGTGGTCTCTTGTCTTCAGATCTTGATGATGGTGGGCCTACCTGCATCAGGGAAGACCACATGGGCCATCAAGTATGCTCTGGAGAACCCTGAGAAGAAGTACAACATTCTGGGAACAAACTCCATCATGGAGAAGATGAAGGTGAGATTGTTGGTTAAACTCAAAGCCCTGAAGAGTACTCAAATGATTGACTCTGACTCTCTATCCAGGTCATGGGTCTTCGTCGACAGAGGAACTATGCGGGGCGCTGGGACATCCTGATCCAGCAAGCCACACAGTGCTTGAACCGGTTGATCCAGATTGCTGCTCGCAAGAGGCGCAACTACATCCTGGACCAGGTATAGCTGGGTCTTCCTGGGGTTGTGGCTGCGATTGTAAAAGGATGAATTTTTCAAGGATTGTATTTAGTTCTGGTAAAACAAGTCATGCTTTGAAAATAACATGTCTGCATTGTAAGAAGGAACAAATGGGGATAAACCTAGATAATTTTAGGGCCTGTTTGAACATGTATAGAAAGGTAGGCTAGGTTTAGAGCTCTGAGGGAGGTTTGAGGTTATTTTTTCCTGGGGTGCTTGTACTGTCAAAGGATGGTAAGATACCCTCCTGGTATGTAATGTGTTATAGAAACCGGTTAGCTTATTCAATATTAATTTATTATTGTTACTTACTTTTTATCACATGTTCTCTTCCTCAACTTGCTGTAGCAATCTACTACTCTGTGGTCTTCAGAACCTGTGTAATTAACCTTCATTGGGGTCCTCTGGAGTTTGTTGCACAGAACAAGGTGGCCAAAAATAAGCCTGAATTTAGGAGCCTATCTAAACAGCTCCTGCTGCTTCCTTGTCACTGTTGCCAGACGAACGTCTATGGATCGGCGCAGAGACGGAAAATGCGCCCTTTTGAAGGTTTCCAGCGCAAAGCTGTTGTGATCTGTCCAACCGAGGAGGACCTGAAAGAACGAACAAAAAGGCAGACCGAAGAGGAGGGAAAGGACGTGCCTGACCACGCGGTGTTGGAGATGAAGGGTAGGAAGCCAAAGACAAACAGAAATGCCCCCCCAGACTAGTCTGCATCTTGTATATTTGTGTCGGTTACTCTGTTTTGACTTTGAAACACCTGTGCCGCTCTCACCATACTGTCTCATTTCCCGTAGCGAACTTCGTTCTCCCTGAGCCTGGTGACGTCCTCGACGAGGTGCTGTTTATGGAGCTCCAGCACGAGCAGGCCGCCCTGCTGGTGAAGCAGTATAATGAGGAAGGCCACAAGGCGGGACCGCCGCCTGACCGGCGCCACGAGGGCCGGCAGGCTGGTTACCGTGGTCGTGGCGGATACCAGCGTTATGAGAACCGCGCCGGGCCCCCGGGAGGCTACCAGAACCGTGGCGGGGGCTTCCGGGGGGGTAACTGTCCGGTGTTAATGTGTCTGTGCGCGTTCATCACTGTATGTGCTACAGCTTACTGATACTGCTGTTTCTGTTGAAGGGTACAACTGTGGTGGCAACCACCAGCAGAACCGATGGAGCAATCACCGGGACAGCGCCTCTGGTGGCAGGGATGGCTACGGACGCAATTATTCTGGAGGCTACAGTCACAGCCGACCGGGTCCTTATGCCAAAGGAGTGTACAGTCAGGTGAACATGCTGCATATATTTCTAGGCTAACAGTAAAAAGCATTTAACGCTATCAGATCCTCACTGTCCTCATTGTTATTTGCAGGGCTACAGCCAGGGCTACAATCAAGGCTATGAGCAAGACAACTACAACCCTGGTTACTATGGCAGCTACAGCCAGTATCCTGGATACGAGCAAAGCTACAGTGAGCCTTCAGCACATGCCTACAATCAGCAGCCGAACTACAATCAGCAGTACCAGCAGGTGTGGGCGGGGGGGTTAATTGCTGTCACCCAGCTTCTTATTGGTGACAGTGCAGCTTGTTCTTGATAGATTGACAGCCCAGTCTCCCCTCTCTCTCTCTACAGTATGCACAACAATGGCAGCAGTACTACCAGAATCAGAGCCAGTGGAACCAGTACTACGGCCAGTATGGCGACTACTCCAGCCAGGGCTCCCAGGGCAGTCAAGGTGGGCGTTAGCCCCGCCCCCCTCGGACCCCGGGCCAGCTGTCCTTGGGGCTGCTGGCATCTCGTGGGCTTGCTCAGCGCAGGGGGTGTTTCACAAAGCAAGATTTCTCAGTTAGGTGTGTTACCTTAAGCTTGAAATTGTGATCGTCCAATAGGAATGCTTCTTACTTAAACTCTTATTGGACAGTCATGACTTCTAGATTAAGTTAACCCATCTAACTGAGAAATCTTGCTTTGTGGAACACCCCCCAGCTCCGCACTCTTGTCCATCTGTCTTCCGTGTTCTTGTTCCTCCTGCTTTGTGTTCCAGACTAGTCGCGGTTCACCCCACGCTGTCGGCGGGTTTGCCGTGCGTCCGACCACTCGGCCCACAGTTAGGATGGGACATGCCCACTGCTCTGGCTCTCTGTCTAGCTCCTACTCGGTTCCACCAACTTTTACTCTTGAAACATTAGCTTTGGTGTCTTTACAAATAATGACCTCAAAAAACAAAAGAGGAAGAAAAAAAAAAAAAACTGCATAGAGCGTGACCCCCCCTAGATAATGGATCTGCCAGAGGTGGAAATTTCAGGTCCAGAAAGTAAAAATCCAGAACAAGATTTTCCATCTCTGCAAGCCGCCCACATGGTTACATCCCTGGTACAGGGGTAGCAGACAGTAGCCATTCCAGGTGACCTCAGCGTTCCAGTCCCAGTGCGGGGGCGACCGCCACTGTCCCTGATTACGGAGCGCCCATCTCAGATGCGTCCTTTCTTTTTAAGGTTAAGTTCATTACCGAGGGCTGGGTTCCAGGCCCATCTTCTGCTGCACTGACATAGGTAGAAGAATGTCTATAGTGGACATTCGCAGAGTCAAGCCTGTAAATCAGTGTATTGTGAAGAAATTAACCCACAGTTGCATCTTTTTAAAAACATAATTTATGTGAGCAATATATGTATCCAGGGGTGTTGGAGGGGTGTGGATACCCTGGCAGATTCAGGGGGGCCAGGCATTTTACAGGGACCCTGGAATACGTAAAATTATTAAATTATATCATGTAAGGGACATGGGAGGGGGCAAAATGTTTAGCTAAGCCTCTGTGTATATATTTATATATATATCACTATTCCTATATCGCAGTTCCCATGATTTTCAGTGTTAACTATTGTTTACTAGTTTTGTGGTAGTTTTGCGTTAAGTACTAAATCTATTAAATGTGACATTATTGCCGTTTGCTGTGTGTAACTTCAGTTTGGACGTGCGAGGGAGGGGTCATGGCCAGGATCAGGCCAATCACCCAGCTGCCTCAGGGTTTACGAGGTCCAGCCACGTGTTTACACACGTTCTGCACCGTCGTCATTCATGTTCGATAGAAATGCCACAGATTCGCTCTGGCTCGCTGGCAGTGTATTACTATAACACCATAGTCAACTCACTCTTTACTTAATCACTTGTTTCTCATGAACATCATTTCTGAACCAAAGCACCTCAGTACTTCTCCACCTGTGACAACGTAGCTTATCCTGGTCACGGAGGACTTGGTGTCCATCCCAGAGAGAGAAGGGCACAAGGCTGGGTAATTTATGTAGATAATGGTAATTCTAACCAACAAAGGAAAAAAGTACTAACACTTTATTAAAGTTAGCAAAAAAAAAAAAAACATCAAGATTATACTGGATTTAATAAGGCAGGGAAAATGTTATTTGTTTTGTTTGTAAACAAAAATACAAAAACTGTGGAAACAGCGTGTGGAGAGGACACCTCATCTGAAAACTACAGCGACCATAAGTCCACAGCGACTTGGTCTACAGCAGGGCCTGGGAAAAAACCGAGCTTCACTTTGCCAGTGGGGGGGCGTTTTCATGTCCCATGAAAGTTACAATAGGCTCGTTAGATTTTTTTTTTCACCTTCATTTTTTTTTGAAAGACCTACATTCTGAATCAGTTTTTCGTTTGTTTTTTTGGAGAGACTCATTTTTGCGTGTTGGAATAGAAGTATCATATTTGTGAATATTCATGGTACTTGAACATAAATGTTACATTTTCTCTTTTAATGATCATGCCGGCCAGTAAAAATTGCTCTGTGGGCTGGCTTTGGCCCAGATCTGTCCTACAGTGACCAGGGTCTCCCGCAGGTTCTCATTCATGGTGGTGCACCAGTGATGCGTTGAGAAATGTGTCCGCGGTTACGAGTCAAAGTATTATGATGTTCCGGTAACTTGCGGACAGGTCAGTTATTATAAAATTTAAGCATATAAAGTGGGTTGCGCATCATTTTGACTTTTTAAATATTAGCGTTAGTCAGGTTGAATTATAAACACACTTTTTAGTTTTAGATCTATGATGACATTTTATGGCATTGATAAAAATAATAGGCTAATGGATTTCAAGAGTACAGTAATATTTGTTATTGCCTAATGTAGAAATATTTTGAAATTTAAACTGGAAATAATTCAAGAAAAGTTGGAAAGGGACAACACTGCAGACAGTCACCACCCAGGGCCTGTGAACCACCACTACCTGCAACATGAGATTCAGTAGAAGTCTTGATTCCTTCCAGCCCTGTGAGATTCTTCCTTTTACATAAATGGCGCTTCTTACACAAACATTTCAATGTTGTAATACTAATGAGTATTTGGCTGCCTAAGTTTGCCATTGTCCTTTAGCGATTTTACCGAAGAAGGGGCCCAAATTTACTGTGCTCCTGCTTGGGTATGCTATGAGTCTATTCGGCGTACAGGTGGGGGGCGCCATTGATAGTGAATGCTGCTTCCGTCATGGTCTATAGTTGTCACCTGATCTTCTTGTTTCTTCTTGAACCATATTTTCTCACACATGCTGGGGTGATGAGCCATAGTTTGGGGGCTCTGCTGTCCTCCTGTGCCTCAATGGGTTTTGCACCAGTAGCAAGTGGAGGGATATTATGTGGGGTCTATGAAGACGTTCAGACTAAGAGCTGAATCTGGAAGAAGCAGTTTGGACCCCATGAGCAGGTCAAGAAAAGGGGCAGACTGATGGGTTTGAGGTCTCATGGTAAAACCCAGAGCTGTGCATGGCTGGATGTCAGGGCTGCCTGTGTGCTGCTATGGGGTTCTGCTGAGGGGGCAACCCTACAAGAGGTTCAGCTTGCTTGGGGGATGTGTGCTGTGGTGACTATGATCTCTGCTCTTGTCCTTGTGCAAGTTCAGCTCCTCCATCTTGTCGAGTAGGATGGCCGGAGGCATGGAGCAGCCCCGCGGCCTCTGGGGGGCAGTAGATAGCTGCTGCTGTCTTCGCTTCAATTCCTGGAAGATGTAAGACACAGCTCTTTCCTGGGGGAAGGGCTGGAAAGGAAGACGGTGTGACCTTAAGAAACACTACCCCTTCCAGGGATTCTCAGATTGTCCTGCAAAGACCCAGCCTGTCTCACCTCAAGGCTTGAATAAATGAACAAGATCCACAGTCCTGGATCACCACATTTCCTATCTCCATACCAAACAGGACCAAATATGAGTCTTTGGTTACCTTATCTGGAGTGGACCCTGAGATCACTCTGCTTTCAGGGAGCCCAGGAGTCCACATGCCTGGCTCGGTCTGGGTGGACTTTTCCAAAAGCTCAGTGCTTTCTCCATTTTTCTGTGGCATAGAGAGGTCCTCAACTGTGTCTCTCCCCTGGCTTTGCGGGAACGGGTAGGTGTCTTCCTCGGAGCCTGATCAGAAAAATGTTACCAAGATTACGAATCTGCACTGGCTGAAGTAATCAACAGGCAGGGCAACAGAGGTAACTCACACCAGCTGTTTGCTTTGGCCTTGACATCTGGGGTGGCTGTGCAGGGACAGGACCCCGCAGATGTCTTGAACCTCTTTATGCACTCCAGGCCCACCTGATTCCGGCAGTGCCTGTGGCAGTTAACTCCGCAGTCTGCCATGGAGGGAGAAACATATGGTATCAACCCGCAAGACCGGCTGTGCACTACATTGTGCTTTACAATCACGCCAGAATGTTCTCAGTGCTGAGAGGGCAAAGCTTTGAGGTAATTTGTGGTTCTGGAAACATCTTACCTTTGCAGCGGAATCCCTGTTTCATTACTCCCCACAGCTGCAAGAGAACAGAAGAGTAGGGTCATAGGCGAAGGAGGACCGGGCCAGACATGGGCAGGCGCGGGCCACGGGGTTCGTACTTACAAAACCCCCACAGGTGTCGCAGAAGGTCGGCTTCTTGTAGCTCGTCTCGTGGAAGTTGTGTTGGAAGTTGAAGCCGAGCTTGGCGCACACGGACATGCCCCTCAGGAAGTAGGAGGTAATGTCTTCCCGACTGATTTCCCCTTCCCTGAAAAAAGGGAGAGGGAAAGGGTTATGGCACAAGGATCTACGAAAAGCCCAGGTGGAATGACCTGGACATCCCTGACTGATCCCTTTACGATGCCATACTTTAGGACCATCTGTTGTACCCATTACCTGTCACTGTCATGAGTGCAGAAGGAGAAGGGAAAATTGGCAGCTATTTTCTCAAAATCCTCCATGGAGATGTAGCCATCCAGGTTCTGGTCGTAATTCTTCATTATTGACTGCAGGGGGCGACAAACACATGATTTACAGTTGCATCTGGTGTCCTCTGAACTGGGGAAAAAAAGTCAGCTACTGTCTTTTCTAAAGTGTCAAAATACTCCTCGTACTCACATCAACCATTTGCTGGACGTGTTTCGAGATAGTTTCTGGATCCAGTTGGAATGTCACCTCTGATCCCCACTCTGCGATAATAGGGGGCTTAACTGGAACCACGGCCTACAGAAACATGTGACCACAGATGTAGCATAATTCCCTAACCTACAACATGGGCTTAAATGCAAAGAGGAAGGAGGACATCGCTCAACCCTGACAGCCAACCTGGACCTTGGGGTTCCTGAGCTCCTTGGTGTAGGACAAGTCATAGATTTCATCCTCAGTGTAGTACAGATCCAAAGATAGCTGTGGACAAGCAGACATTTTGAAAAATCAAATAACAGAACATGGATATAACTGGATAGCATTTCCATGATGAAAATGAGCAGCTATGCTACAGCTTTGCTTGCAGCATTCCAGTGCTGGAGGTGACATCACTCTCTGGTTATGATGCAAATGCACATATTAGCGTAGCCCTTCCCTGCTGCTTCACCATCAGCAGGTAACACTGCTGCCCGGCCATGATGCTAATGCACACGTTAGCATAGCGCTTCCCCACTGCCATACTGTTAGCAGGTAACACTGCTATCTGATTATAATGCTAACGCACATGTTAGCATAGCGCTTCTCTGCCATCTCACCATCACCAAGTAAAAGTGCTGCCCAGCTGTGATGCTAACACACGTTAGCATAATGCTTCCTCCGCCTCACCGTCAGCAGATGCAGCAGGTCCTTGTTGGGCTCGAAGGGCGGTGTGCAGGTGTGGATGTCCAGCAGCTCCTTGATGTTGCTGTACAGGTGCTGCACTTTACTCAGGTTGATCTTGTCCTCCTCCAGGTAGCTGGGTAGCACCTCATTCAGGGAGATCAGGTCTTTCAGATGCACTCCCAGGATGGGTACCCTGAAGCCCCTGCTCTCCCCGAACACCCGCCGATAGCTGCTGTAGTTGCTGCTGGAGGACAGCAGGTCCATCATCTCGTTCAGGATCTGTAGCAATGGGGGGTGTTTTTGAGATGGCAAACACAAGTAACTGTGTGCTAGAGCCCCCTACTGGTGCTTTGGATAAGTGGCAGAGTCATCACTAAGCCTGAGTTAACGTCAGAAACACTGTTGTAAAGCTGTTGCTTACTGTTAAAAGCTTTACTCTGTTCTTGCTATTTTACTCCCCATCTACATGTCTAAAAAGCTACCCCCCCACCCCAATACTGGAGCCCCAAGTTGACCTTGGTGACATCGGGAGGCAGCAGAGAGGTTGTGTCTTTGAGACGAGAGATGGCGCTGTGACAGAGGCCCCCCATCACTGCCATCAGCGTGTTGAAGTTCTGCAGCACCCGCAGCTTCTGCAGTGGGGGGTGGGGTGAGGTGGGGTGGGGCAGGGACATTTCATTTTCCTCCTTTTTGCAGATCCTTGTCCCGCCGCTCAGTGTGTCTGTACTGCAGCAGCACCCACCTGAGCCACGTGGATGAACTTGGTGAAGACTTGGGCTCGCTGCTGTGCCGTGTGTTTGCTGAGGATCATGAGCTGCACCCACTGCGAGACGCCATTGCACAGCATGACTGAGCACTGCAGAGCCGGGTTCCCATGCACTGAGCCGTGCACGATGTAGCTGCGGTAGTCCAGGTGCTGAGGGTGAGAGTGGGCCAATGAGTTCCAGCCGTTGTCTCCCAGTGCCTGTTCAGATCATGCCACACCCACCCTGACCACGCCCCCACACCACCCTGTCCACACCCACCTACAATGACCACTTCCACCCTATAATGACCATGCCCCCTACCCACATACCCACCTTGATCACTCCCCCCACCTTGCCCTGACCGTGACATGTCCAGCAATGGCCTCCGCCCCGCCCCGCCCCAGCCCAGCACACACACCGAAACCTTGCAGAAGTGCTCAAACTCCAGGTAACTGAGCAGCTCAGCAATCTCCTCCGGCTCCACGTGATCAAAAAGCAGCGAGACCTTCCTCTTCTTCAAGCTGGGAGATGGACACTGGGACGAGTTCACAGGGGGGTCCCTGGGTCGTGGGATCCGGAGACGGAAGGTCACAAAGAGTAAACTCAACCGTAAAACCCCAGATTCCTTCATCACATCTTGCAGGGACTGTGCCTCGGCGCCACCTACAGGTAGGAGGTGTTGAGCAGCTTGCAGTGAGACTCCTCCCCCTCTGTCCTCACCAGGTCACACATGTCCTGCATAACCTGCTCCAGCTGGGTGTCAGTCTTGAACACTGCAGGAAATAGGCTGATCCAGTGCCTGAATGGGGGGGGGGGGGTTATCAAGTCAGCCTTTTCTTATGAATGAAGGAAGAACAAACTGGGCTTCCGGCATATTGGGGGAGGGCCCTACCTGATGAGGTGGCAGACCTGAGATCGTTGCTGTGTCTTCCTCTCTGCGGGACACTCCTTATAGGTGACAGAGTCAAGGAGACATAATCATGCGACCATTCGGTGGGCAGAATCACGGCACACGCACACACACACTCATAGGGGGGCACGCCACACGCACAAAGGTGGGTGACCGGACACTCAAGAGGATATAGGGAGAGCAGCGTGCGTGCAAATGTGTGCGAAGGCACCACCCAGCTGTGCATCATCAGGGTCATGTGAACCAGGTCTCCTCCCCTGCACAGTCTGCCATCTGAGTCTGAGACACAAAGAATCGCACGTCTGTCATTAAAGAAAAACCACAAAACCGCCGCCTTCGTTGCTGCAGGTCACCGCCGGCGGAAGTCGGCGCGCTCTTCCTGAGTGCTGCAACTACGTTAGTAATGAGCCTGGCGAAATTCGGCAGCCGGGCCAGAGAGCAGGCTCCCATCCGACGGCTCCCACAGGGAAACAGAGGAGGATTGTCTGGGTTGTTTTCCTGCATGTTCAGCCCGGCTTTCAGCGTGGATTCCTCCCACTTACTGGTGCTTGAAAGATTAGCTTATGTAACCTGGCTGTGGATAACATGGGGGACTGTGAGACCCCAAAAAAGACGGGGGGAGAGGGGTGGAATAGAGAGCGTGGTGCCTCATGGGGGGAGCGCCCGGCCGGTTAACCCTCTGTCTCCCTAGAGCACGGCCTCACCGAAGCAGTGCAGGCAGCATTGGATGAGCTCCTCTAGGCTGATGGCGTGACTCAGCACCCCAGTGTCGGTTGTCTGCAGCGCCTGCCGGATGTCCGAGGGACTTGGACAAGTCATGCACCTCTGCCGACATTTCGGCCCAGCCATGCCCTCCTTACAGGCCTTCCTGGAGTGGGACAGGGGTCAAAGGTCACTAGATTCCCACAACTGTAAAACGAGGCCCCATCAATAAAGGTACAGGCAGGGGTGAGATTTTTGGCCCCATGAAATTATATTATACTGGGCCTCCAATCCAGACAAATTTAAATATGTTCCAAACTTTTTAGGGTACCTGTCACTCAAGGGTCCTTGGAATCCTCCTAACTCAGGCAGTCCTGCATTTAGGTCTGCTGTTGGCATCAGACGTGGGATTAACACAGTACAGGGCTGTCCCTGGGCTACTCTTTTACCTTTGAACCTCTTGTGCCCGATTTGCACCGTAGTAAATGCGAACAATGGCCGACACAGGGTTGGGGCACTCTGAGTTGCGCTCACTCACCTGACTGTGGCTTGCATGCTCTCAGCATGTGACTGCAGGCTTCTTCAAGAGTATCTGAATGTGGTTCCCTGGCACCGGTGCCAGTGGTTGTACAACGCGCGTGAAAAAAACACGGCCTCAGCTGACGCAACAAGATTGCGTCAGCGTGTGATGGAAATCCCGCTCGTCCCAAAGTCCCTCGATGCCGAAAGGTGGCATCAGAGAGCAGCGAATTCAGCCGGCCGCTTAGTCTGGCGTGGGGCGATTTTTCAGTTGAATTTCAAGCCTCCTTTTTCACATCCTGAAATCTCTGTATCGAGGCTGAGGTGCATTCTGACGGGCCCTTAAGATGTGCCCTCTCACTTCTCCCCCTCGCTTCCCTGCTGTCCCGTCCTTCTGCTTTTTTACGAAATGCCACTAATGGTCAGTCTACCTCCAAGCCTGTCTGCATATCACCAACCCGGCACCATGCAGGCTACTTACACCGCAGCTGCAGCTACCGGTGCTCTGCAGGGCCGGACCACGGCCCATCCGCAGGCCATAGTACGTATGTGTGTTGACAGCGCCTGGCCAGCCCCCACCCCCCTCGCTGCCCCTTCCCTTCCTCTTCCGTCTGCTTCAGAAAACACCACCCTGGAAGTCCCCCTCCCCCTCAGCGCCTCCTCGCTGTGGTCATGCCTACGCTGAGAGGCCCATCCTCCTTCCTGTCTCCCTTTCTTCACATGCAAATTCCCCTCTCCTTTGATTAACTGATCAATGGAGTCTGTATGAATTCCCCATTTGTGTACCATGGCCTCTCTCTTGCCCCCCCCCACAAACACACACACACAAGCATAAACATTCTCAGGCAGCCTACAGTTGTTATTTATGCCATGAAATGGTGTTCTGTGATTTGGATACATACAATGCCACCCCCCCCCCCCCCCCGGGTAAAAACCGTCTGACTTATCGGCACAGTAATGCACATGCACAGACAAACACAGCGACCAAATGAGCCAAGTTCGTGATGTCATTTGGGAGAGGCACTGTATGTCCCACATTGTCTTCCCAAGATGGGGCATTCTGCAGGTCGCCTGAGAGCCTCTAAGCAATTATACTTCATTCACTTCAGAAGTACCTTTCTTTAAAAAATATGAGCGGGGCAAACCTGTCACATGCCCAAAGGTGACGCTGTCATGAGGGAAAGGGTTGTCACCGGCGTGGTGGCACAGGTATGAAAGAACTCACCAGACGCGTTTCCTGACCACCACGACACCCACAGAAAGTTCCTGGAACTGGAAAGTTCCAGTTTCTAACAAGCTGATAAGGCCCTTCAGATAAGAGAAAAACGAGAGTGACAGAATGGAAGTGCGGAGGATCATCGTGAGCTGTCGCCAGTGGTCACCTTACGCTTCCTGTCTCTGACGGGTTCAGCCCCAAAGGTCACAGGACGTCTACGTGAATGGAGGTCTGACGCAGGTTAAGCCTCCCACGTCTGAGGGGTGTGTTTTTACATTACAGCAGCAGGAACCAAATGGTGGACACCCGTCCACATCAGAAACACAATATAATCAGGATTGTGCAACCAACTCCCCCCCCCC